AGTGGCAAATCCATCAAGGAGCCTACAGATTCCTTGGCATAAGAACATTGCGTAGGATACCTTCTGGCCCGTTCGCCAAGAGGAACCATTTAATATAAGGCCCTGACGATGAAAAACAAGAGCCAACCTGGTAGTTCGCCTCCAAATGCAGAAAATGTAAGGCTAGTGTCATCAGTGAGCACGGGCCTCCCAATAATCTTGAATGCCTCCTTTGACTTTGCCACAGCAATATCCCTTATGCAGCCCTGCATTTCAGGAACTATCGTTAACCAATTCAAGAGTACTATCCAAAGAGATGGCATCAACTTCAAGAACACCATTCAGAATTTGCTGAAGCTCGCTAAGTTTATTTGCATTCCCAGTAGCAAAAGCGATTCTCATGGAATCTGGTAATCAAATAAACGGGACTCTTCAATTAGTTTTCATTCGGGTAGGGTTTGAAATGGTAAAATTTAATAAATAAGCAATATGTGAATATCAGGGTGGAGGAGAGCGGTTTTTTAACATTTCACCACTAATGTCCTCTCTCGCGACCGTACACCCACATCCAGAACAATCGCCACAAGCTGCGTTCAATAAGTTGCTTGAGATCGAAGGGTCTCTCGATAGTATTGACACCCAGCGCTCAATTGAGATCGCCAACATCTTTGCAAACTATGATGAGAAGAAGCTGCCATTTTTACAAAAGCGGGATGCCATCATCAAGGCGGAAATCCCCGCTTTCTGGAGCATTGCTTTTAGAAACCATCCTGTTCTTGGCACACTTCTCGAAGAGGAGGACATTGCAGTCTTCTCATATCTGTCCTCTATCACTGTAGAGAAGATCAGTAGCAGTGGCGAAGGAAAACGGATTATCTTTACCTTTAATGCCAACCCCTACTTTTCTAATGCTACTCTTGTTAAGGAAATTAACGAAGAGGAAGGCACCAAAAACTATCCAATTGACTGGCTTCCTGGCATGGTATAAATGTGATTTATTATTCAATAGAACCTGATTGAGCCGACACAGGGCAATCAGAAGCGACGCCACACGGCCACAGCCTCCTTCTTTGCATGGTTTTCTGACGAAGATCGTGAGGTTGCAGATATAATTGCTACGGAGCTATACCCAAACGCCATCAAATACTACTCAGGAGAGTATTCACAGGAGGAGATTGATGATGATGACGAGGATCTAGAAGAAGATGAGGATGATGAGGATGAAGATGAGGGAGAGAATGAGGAAGATGAGGAGGAGGAAGATTCTGAGGGCGAGGAATAGTAACCACAATGGGCCTAGTAACAAATAAATGCCAACACTAATGTCGATACCCACGGATGCCAAATGGCGCAATAAAATTAGCAATCAGTTGGTCGGCTTGTTGCTTTCATCATCGTGCCAATGTCACGTCGATCCGGCTACTCGATACCAAAACCTTCGGACTCGACAATGGCGTTTGTGAGCAAACGTCGAAGAGTCTCCATATCTGGATATCCCTTGTGCAAGCAGAGCTGGTTGAAGCATGTCCGCCCAAGCGGGCGGTATTCGCCTCCACTGAGATTCTTCCAACTTGCATCTCTTCCCCAGAGACGAATAACCCAAGGGCCCTGTTGATTTGGCATGCCGGAATGGCCAGCAGCACCAGCGGCAGCCAGGGCAGCAGGGAGACGTCCAACACCCGTTACAAAGATGAGGAACTTGCGTCGCATTTCAGCAGAGTATGAGGTGAGAATATCCCAAAACCAGAGAGAAACTGGATGCTCGGCCGACAAGTATCCCTCATAGAGTGCAACGGAGCGTAAAAGATCGATACTGATCTCTGCAGGATCCCCAGAAAGTAGCTGCTTTAACTCTTGCGGCGAAAGCAGCGCAATTGTCGAACCGCTGAGTGTAGAGTAGAACGAGTCTCGAAACTTTGTCCAGTGGTTTCCTGGACGATGATGGAAGATATGTTCAAGATAAAGTGAGATGAAAATTTCGCGATTCTCCCCCGTAACAGCGATTTCGGATCCACGATTGGTAAGATCGATAATTTCTCTCTTTTCTGGGCCTGGTTTGGAAAATCCAGCAGTGAATTGAAGCTGAAAAACATCTTCAACCTCTGCTTCCCCGTGATAATCCAACAGCTGGCCAAGGCCGCGGGCAAGGGTAGGCGCAATTTCCCAGAGATCATCCAACGTGATAGAGGACATAGATTCCCCGTGTGCTGAAACGCATGCCGGTGGATTTGTGTCCGGGGAAAGCAATTTTTTGAAGAGTGCAAATGGAAGTCTATGGTCAAGTACAATTCCATTGTTCAAGGAGAGCCCTAGGATTGTCCCAAGTAGATGCACCAGTTCAAATACCCCTTGACTGCAATTTTCACCACTGTGGAACCAGACACAGGGTGCGTTCAGTTCAAATCCACAAATATCTGCCTGAAAAAGACCAAGGGTAGGATCCATCAGTGCATGTATAAGAAGCTGCAGCCATTCACGAAGCAAGCCCCCAGCATCGATTCCAGGCTCACCTTGAAACTCTACCTTGATCCTCCCACGAAGCTGTGGGGGGCTTGCATTGAGTAATTGGATAATGGACGCATGGAGCATCTCTCTCAGCGGTGATCGAGGAATCCTTACCACAAGAGGAATAGGGTATCCTGAAGCATATCCATTTGGGAAAAGCTCAGACTCCAGTAGCCTAGACTTGATTCCCAATGAGATAATTCCTGGGTGGTTGGCAAGAAGCATCTTTTTTTCTCCAAATAAGCGGAGCTGGCCCCGTGAAGCTAATAAATTTTTCAAAGACACTGAGCAGGTAGTCTGGTGCCAGTCCGCCAAAATAACCTCAATCGGAATCAAGTCGATGGCCATACTATAAAGTTCTGAGGGCTCCATTCGATAAACCCGTCCATTAGACTCTGAAATCATTTGCAGCATATAAGCGCCTGCAAGGATCACCCAATCGCCAGCAATTATTTTGGCCTTTGCCTTTGCAGAGCTGCAATTAGCACTAGAGATCCTTCCAATTCGCACATTGAGGGTCCAATTTGCAAGCTCCGCTAGTCGCCTTAAAAGTGGCAATGGAAGCGCGTCGAGAATTTTATTCAATATAGACGTGGAGGAAGCCGTTGATTTGAGGGCTTTTTCTTCCGAATGTGCCTTCCCTTTAGGAATTTCTTTTAGTGATTTTGCATGCAGCTCGATTTTATGTTGAAAGTCTTTTTTTCTTTTCCAGCAGGCCTGTCTTAAAAGCGAAAAGAGGCGTCTTGCAAGTGAGTGGTGAAAAGTGCCCTCCATCGACAATCTCTTCCTGGAGAGAAAAGGGGTCAGAAGGGCCACCAAAATCCACCTCACTGGGCTCGCTTCCTGTTCCATATTTAGCACACCAGGCCGTCTGACCAAATGGTCAAGAGAGGCCATCAGTGTTTGAGTAAAAAACGAGCACTTCATCTCAGTGAGTTGAAAGTAAAAGTTATTAAAAGATTCGCTATCGATTATCGTCTTATAATCATGATCACTTTGAGTCCTTCTTGAAAATGCTAGCCCCAGAACAAATGACGATGAGAATCCCGAAAATAGAATAGAGCGACCCTCTTCCAAATCTCCGCTTACATGAGCGGCTATCAGAGCAGAAGTAAACTCTGCCGTTCCTGGAATAAGACTTTTGTCGATCGATACTGAGAACTGTGAAGTATACATGTGTGTAAGTGAAAGGTCCGTAATGGTTTCACATACGCAGCATAAAAAGCAGTCCGAATATGGAAAGGCGTTTATGGTCCCGCAACATACACATGAGTGTCTGCGTTTTTTCTTTTTTTCCCGTTTTTTCATAAAATATTCCTACAGGAAATAAACGGCTACGAAAGGACATGATTGTTATTGCAATTGATTGGAATTAGTCTCGACCAATGGAATTAGTCTTGGCCAATGGAATTAGTCTTAGCCAATGGAATTCAAAATTTTGCATCAATTTTTACAATTTATTTTTGCATAATTTTAGGACACCAATTTGGAGTTGTAAATTTTTGGGAGAAGAACTAAAAGCGTTGACGTGAAATTCAAGGCAAAGGCAAGCATGCCATAGCGTGAGTTGTGCGCGCTAAGTAAGAAGAGCGCAATTGGGAGTACAATTAAAAACCGCTTTGTCCTTGCTGCCTTGATGGCTGATCGCCTTGTTCCCCCGATAACACTGTCGGGAATCTCTCTCGGAGAGAGCTGGGGAGAACCGCATATTACCCGCTTCTTTTTGGTTCTTAGTCCTATTGGCCCTTCCTCTTCTGCCGCTTCTAATTGTTCCCAAAGCGTGAGGCATGCATATTCGCCCTGAATTCCAGCATCGTCGAACGGAACCCCTTTAATCCTGTGGAAAAAGACCCAGCAGACGACGTTGAAAACAACAGTTGTTAGCGTCCAAGATGCCTCAACTCCAACTATATTTGCCGAGAATGTTAGCTTAAGGAAGATAACCAGAACCAGGCTTGTTACCCAAATTCCTCTCTGGCTAAGCCAGGCCGCATTTGGGTTTTGCCTTTCCATGTTAAAAATTTTGGTTTGATAGATCTATCAAACATCAGTCAAAACAAAATGAATAGAGTATTTTGTGAACCTTATTTTTACTATGACCGAATTTTACCCAGATTATGTGCCAAAAAATAAAGGCCGATCTGAAAACCGCAGTTTTTTGAGTGCAATGAAGCGTGGTTATTTGAGGCTCGAGCTTGCCACCTCTTTTTACATGCTCGAACCGATGGAAAAAATTGTTGCATATATGATTCTGTTTTTCCTTTTGGCAATTCTACTGCATCATTCGGTTACCATATGGCATTTTATAAAATACTTTGCCAGGGGTTTGTTTTCCGTCTCGCTATCATGTATTGAAAAGATCAAGGCCGGATAAATACCCAATGTCGAGTCAACCTACGATTTGATAAATGGAGTTAGCACAACTTTAGTCCACGAAAACGAATTCGGGATTAATAAACTTTAATTTTGCTGCAAGAATTTAATTTTCACCGGTGGTGGTCCCCATATGATATTCGATGTTCAGGCATCTACCTAATTCCAGGCTGCTCCCCATCGGAAAACATGGGGCTTTCAACTCAGACGACATCGTGAACAATTATTTCTTTGATTCCATAAACCTTAATGGCATACTTTCTGTATTTAAGCCTTCCCTCCGAATTACAAATCCATTTGTTTACAATTTACATACCAAATTATGGTCGGCATACTGCAAGTCTCATCCAATTTCTTTCGGAAGCGAGGGTGCGCAGCGGAACGCTTCAAAACGGCATATTCTTTCTGTTTTGGGCAAAATTGGACACGGTGGAACCTTGGATCCAATGGCACAGGGTATAGTCGTCGTTGGGCTGGGCTCCGGTACTAAAAAGCTAGGAACTCTATTGCAAGGCCCCAAGGTACAGATGTTTGAAATGTTAACGTCAATAGTCCTATACGGCAATCATGAAATTGGGCGAAGGTACCGATACCCTTGATGCCACTGGAAATATAGTCGATCGCTCGGAATCTCTTTCTCGTGACATATTTGACCCAACTAGGCTTCAGGATGTGGTTAGGAAATTTATTGGCCACAATATCCTCCAAGTCCCGCCAAAGTACTCACTTTTCATCTCTTATCGTCCCAGGTTTTCAGCATTGAGAGTTAATGGAACGAGGGCATGCGACTTGATGAGGAGGGGAATTGAGATTCCCGACTTGGATGCCAGGCCCGTTACCATTAATAGTATTTCGATTGTCAATGTTGACCCTCCTTTTATTACACTATCTGTTGACTGCATGGGGGGCACATATATTCGATCGCTAGTGCGAGATATTTCGGCAGAGCTCGGCACGTTTGGCATGCTCACTTTTCTTGAAAGAACCAGAATTGGGCCCTTTCACATCCAGGATTCCATTAGGGATCTTTCTATCTTCGAGCATGATTTGGAAGCGGTAAGGAAAATTTCGGAGCAAGGAGCACTCCTGCTCGATGAGTATATTTATTCAAGACAGCACACAAATGTAACTATATAAAGCTATTGTGGACACAAAGCAAATTCCAAAAAGTTGTTGTGCGTGTTAATGATTGACTGTGCCAAGTCCCAATTTTTACAATTTGACAGTATTCCGGCAACAGATTCAAGGTCACTAATGTAAGTTTGATTGCACGCTTCGTCGTCAGATTCTATTAATATCCTGTTATCTGGCATTTCCAAAATAAGTCGATGCAGCTTCGCCAGTGGAAGTCTTCCTGACAGCCTTTGAGAAACGCCAAGAAATACATTGGTATCTTCCCCAAAGGCATTTCGCAGCTGGCGAAGCTGGGTCAGGGAGCCTGTAAAGGAATGCAGAGAAATCGAAGGGGGTCTACAAAGAGGAAATGCTCTCAAAAATTGGCAGAGTGAAGAAACGGATACTTCTCCAACGACATGTAGCGAAATAGGCCTTCTTAATTGATTTGCAAGTTTAAATTGGTCAAAAAATAGTTCTTCTTGTAGTGCAAAGGAATTCAAATGCCTTTTACTAGAATCTAGACCTATTTCTCCAAGCAAAGAATTAGGGAAGGACTGAACATAAAACCAAAGTTGCTTTAAATATTCTTCTCGCTGGGAGACTTTTGAAACGAACCAGGGATGTGTGCCAAATGCCGGGATTATGCATGAAGGACTCTTTTTAGCAAAATCACACACCATATCCCATTCTGAGCGATCAATTGAAACCAAAAGTGCTTTAGATACATCGGCCGAAATTGGAAGTGCCTTCAAATGGATGTGCGAGTCGGTCAAAAACATTTAATTTAAAAATTTTTTATTTAAACTAAAAAATGGCAGATCATTTAGCTTCCATCCATGGTACAGAAAAGGACAAGTAAGTTTCGTGTATGCCGATTTTTAGGGTCAACTGCTCGTTTTATTTCAAGATTGGAGCCTGCAGACATGGGGAAAGATGTTCTAGGAAGCATATAAAACCCCCATACTCGACAACAATGCTCATCCCCAATTTATACATACCACCCTCTCACGATCCAAATTGTAAAATGACACAGTCCCAGCTTCAAGAACACTTTGACACCTTTTATGAGGATATATTCATAGAGATTTCGACAAAATATGGCGAAATCGAGGCCATGAATATTTGTGAAAATTTGGGCGACCATCTTTTGGGGAACGTCTATATTCGCTTTTCTTCCGAAGAAGAGGCCGGAATTGCCGTGGAAGCTCTCAATCAACGCTTTTACAGCGGCAGGCCTTTATATGCAGAGCTTTCACCTGTGACAGAATTTAGAGAGGCATGTTGCAGGCAAAATGAAAATGGCGAATGCACTAAAGGTGGCTTTTGCAATTTTATGCATCCCAAAGAGCCAACTCCAAAATTAAAGAAGGATCTATTTGCTGCTCAAAGGGAGATGTATAGGGTGAGGAGAAGACAATTTTAATAAAATATTAAAAAAGGTCCCAGCGAGGATCGAACTCGCGGCCTACTGCTTACGAGGCAGTCGCAACTACCACTGTGCTATGGGACCAATTGCAAATTTTGATTATTGTTTTTCTAATTACATAATTACTAATAAATTAATTTGCATGAATAAATTACTGTAGTGCATAGCATGAGTCCTCGTCCTCGTCCTCTCTATCCACCCCATCTATCCTCGGACCCATTTAGTGACAATATGATAAGTGGATATGAAAGCGTTGACGATATTAATCCTTTTTCTCCTAGAAAGCCATCCATCAAGCGCGACTTTTGCAATGAAGCATTGGCTATGGAATCAACCTATATGAACATAACACCTCCCAAATCGTCATCATAAGACTTTTTACCGTCCTTGGCCCAGTTGAATAATGGTAATTTATCTCAGTTTCCGATACCAACACCGTCTCCTCAGACTTTTAAAACTCCGTTGAAGCTCGTAAAGCCGGATCCTAATGTTTTTTCACATTCTGGGTACAAATCAAAAAAAAATCGACACACAACTACGCCCTCCGCATTGAAATTTAGAGTTAAAGCAAAATTTTCTCCCCTACTCAAGGATACGCAAAATTACTGTTCTTCGCAATCTATCGAAGATAGCGATCTATTGCACCCATCTATAACACCCAGAACGCCATCCAAAAAGTCCAATACCAAATTTGTATTTATGTCGGAAACAGGGCCATCTACTTCGCCCATAAGACAGCCTCTTTATGATTCATTCAATGATGTACAAACCCTACCTTTTTCAGAGCAAGACTATCTGATGAATTTTGAGTGCATTGATGCGCCATCATCCCCACGGAGACTCGTATTTGAGGTGGGCTCAATAGATCGAAAGGATTCCGCATTTTCATCAAGCGACTCCGATATTGAAGATGTAGAGCATCGTAGTGACATCAACCTGTCTCCTTTCAGGCAGAATGGAAATGTCTTTAATAACAGCCTATTTGAGAGAAAAGTCTCCGAATGGATGTCTCCTAAAGCTAACTTTTTTGATTCATCCAATTTTTCGCATCATATCGCGCCAGCCCACGCTGACGACAATACCAGCCACACCAACGAAGATTATTTTCTATCAAAATTTGACATACTGGAGTCCATCGGCTCTGGCTCGTTTGCAGAAGTTTACAAGGTTTGTAAGGTAGATGATGAATCCAGCATTTCATGTGTGAAAAAAAGCAAAAGCCCATATTCAGGGAATCTCGACAGGTACGCACACACATCTCATCATCCTTGTAGGAGGATGAAACTCGAAGAGATACTGGCATTATGGGCGATCTCCGGGCACCCAAACTGCATTCAGATCCTTTCGGCCTGGGAACAAAGCGGCATCCTTTACATTGAAACCGAATTTTGTCCCAATGGGAGGTAATGTTAGTGACGTTTATGTAGTCTTTTGGATTTGATCAACGAATATTCTGGCAGTCAATTTGATGAAGAAGAAATCTGGGACCTGATAGAGCAACTATCAAAGGCCCTCTCACACATCCATTCCAAAGGCTACATCCACCTCGATCTGAAGCCTGAAAATATCCTGTTAAGTAGCGGGGCTTTATCATCCAAATTCACATACAAGGTGTCTGATCTTGGCCTGGCAAGAAAGTATCTTTACGAATCAACGGATTCCCATTCTCAGCAGCTGATTTCAGATGACATCACAGAGGGCGATAAAGTATACTTGGCTCCTGAAATCTTATCCGGCGCTATTTCTCCTGCCGCTGACATTTTCAGGTACGTGTTGGCTTCGCCTTAAACTGTAGTATGGGGTTGATTGCTTTAGAGCTTGCAGCCAATATTGAGCTGCCCAGCCAAGGTGACTCGTGGCAATTACTTAGAAGCCACTCTCCGTTGAATGGAATCTCTATGAGCGGGGTGTCAAGAAACCTTCAGTCTCTGATTGAGGACATGCTTAGCCTTGATCAGAATCTGAGGCCCTCAATACCCGCCATCATAAAGATCATTTCCAGTCGATGATAGGCCGTTTTTTACGTATTTGTACAGAATAAAGTCTAATTCTCAAGTCTTTTCACACAATGTTGCGTTGAAACTCGGATGCCATGATTCCCGGATCGCGAGATGGAAATTTAAGCGGTGCACTGCGGGCACAAACTCAGAACAAGCAAGCATCACCAATGTGTGTTTTTGTAGCATGAGTATATGGCGACGATTTACCCGGGGGTTGATTGTGACGATTTAACTTTGCAATTTTATCAAATTTAATGACATTTAGAAAGTCAAAGACGCTATCTGAGATAGATGCGGAGTTGCAGAATTCTGGTTGGCGGAAATCTACATTTGCCCAAAGGAACTCTTTTACGTGGAGAGCATTACCAAACTTTAACAATCAAACTCAAAAAGATGTCTGCATAACTGGTCTTGACACCCCTAAATGTGCAATGTCTCGAGATAGAAGAAAACCGGACAAAAAGTTAGCAGAGGAAAATGTGCTCCCCTCCGTCTTTACAGATTGCTCTTGGGTTATTACGCCGGAGCCAGAGCTAGAAAGGTCTTCCCATGTATTGGAAGGGTCGTGTGAAAATAATCCAACGCCAAATAGCTCCTCAGAAAATGCAAAGAGGGATTCAGATAGGCAGGCTTTTGTGCTTCGAAAAAATGTCAAAGGGATTCGCGTGCAGGAGAGACTTGCAGAAGCTAACGCCGTGACAAGCAACCCTCTCAGGCCTGCCCAGAATTGCACATACATTTCAGATTGTCCGATTGATTCCTCAAAGCCGACCTTTCTTGTTACACATGCAATGCTACAAAGCTTGTCCTCCACAAGGCCCAAAATTATCCGACTTAAAAAGTCAAATTAAATTTATCCGCATTCAGAGCCCCCTTCTGACATATTTGAACGCTTTTAGAGATCGGAAAAACTACAAGTTGAAGTTAGCGCAGATCGACAACTTTCTCAGTAAACTGGTCAGTTTCTCATCGGATATTCAAAAGGCTTCATTGCTCTCTTGACCATAGGGGGGGGGCAGGAGGGAAATTTGACGTAAACTTGAGATTGGCATTCTTCATAATAGCCGGCCTTGAGATAAACGTAACGTCTCTATCATCAACAGTAGTCGATCGGTCACAGACAACTTTAGATAATACATAAAAATGGCAGTACTGCGACCAATCAGATCGGTTAAGCCCAAAATAGCATCAATAGCGGCACTATTTTTGAGATATTTGTGAACAAGTTCGAGTAAAGCCGAGGTTAAGCGTTGCACCGCTGTAAAAATAAAAGGGAAAACATGGGGCGCTGTACACATAAAAACGTTACCCTTTAACCACATCAATAGCTGACACCAATGCTCTATTGAGGGTTAAGGTTACATCAGAAACAAATTATGACGCGTTTTGACCGAAATATTAATTTGCGGTACAAACGGCATGACGTCAGAACATGAAACATAATTAAAATGAGGAAAGTATTTCTGAACAGACTAATTAATTTCTCGGATTAATTGGTGCAACTAGTTTCACACTTTTTAAGGGCCCATTTAAGTGGAAACGCAGTATTGAGAAATGCCTTGACAGTACAGATATCAACGAAAGCAGGTCATATGTTCAGGCAGGTCATATGTTCAGGCAGATCATATGTTCATTGTGCAACTTAGGGCCGAACTAACCGATCCAATTCTCAAGCCAGAGCCATGCAATTCTTAAACAAATTGAGAGCTATGGGCTGAACTGACTGCCTTGAATGAACGATTTGATATCCAACCCAAGCTGAAACATCCAAACATTATTAGAATCCTTTATTCAAAAGATCAATATTTTGCACAGGGAGTCAAATGTGGCCACAAAAATGGAATCATCCATGAAAGTATAAAAGCATCCAATATCTTGCTATCCTTGCGCCCAGATGCCAAAATTGGTGACTTTAGGTGTTCTTTCAATAAATCTCAGCTGAAGGCGGGTCAAAGTGCACCCCATCGATATATATCCATATGTGCACTCGCTCAAATAAACATACAAGCCAAAATCGCACAGAAAAGCCTGAAATGTAGTGCTTTGAAATTGATTTCTTATTTTATTCGCATTTGCGAGCATACATAGTCCTTTGGGTAGGTTCGATTTCATTCCCGTCGAAGAGCACAAAAAATTGTCGGTAAGGTTCGTTATCCGCTAATCAGCCTTATTGATGAGGGCTCTAGCAAATAGCAGTTAGGTTGAAGGTTTGTACCTCCCTCAACACATCGCATACTTTAGCTGAAAGCCGCTGCCATAGAGCGGGTTTTTGTTGCGGAAATAATGTGTCCGAAAAATGGAGCACGAGTCCAGTCAAATTAAAATGGGCTTTTTCATGAAAGTGCGTTTTGTGGCAAATTTTTGCATGAAGTGTGGCGGAAATCAGTTGGATTTGTCCTTCCTGCAAGAAGAAGCGTTAGACTGCTTCTTAGCTGAGAAATGCACATTTTCGTTGCAACAAAGTAATTCGTTTAGTACTATTGCATGCAGTGGTGAAAGTTTGGAACCAAGTTATTGAAATCATCAATTCCGGATCTCGAACGACGAGTCTTGAAAGTGATGCAAAGAATTTGTTTGTATTTTTCGAGAACTGCCATCGAACAATCACCTCTAATCCCCCATCAACGCTAACTCCGTCCCATCTTGAAAGTAGATGGACTCTTATATAACCCTTTTAAGAGCTGATGTTGTTTGTTGAGATCGGCCAATTTCAGTTGGAAGAAACGTCGCCACATAAAAACAAAGTTATTGATTATTGCTTAGAAGTTTCCAAATTTCTAAAAGCCTAGGTCATTACGATGCTGTTATCCTATAACATCTGCCATTTGTTTGCTAAAATTGCAAAGAAAAAGTGCTTTTTTCTGTGCGCAAAGGTTGAACAAAGCCTGACACCCAAGTGCGCCTCATCCCAAGTGCAACACAAGTCCTGTCTTGAATTTGGAGCTACCTTGGCGGAAATCGTGGCTTTACTAAAGCAAGTGCAAGACCCAAAACACGTTTGGCTTTGGCTGTTCATCAGGCATTAGGTGATTGATATCCACATTCGCATAAAGAAGCTTGTTGACCAATTGTCTGGGGCCACTGTTGATTGCTCCCTTGTTTCGGATTTCCTAACCCAACTTATAGAAATAACTTTCTCCATCAGCAATGCTGAAATCAGCTCTATTCTTGCATATTACTACTATAAGCTTGCCGAATCAATGCATCAAGGAAATGCTAGCGCTCAACAGGACTCGTTGCTTTACATCGACAAGGCGATAGAGGTACTTTTGTCGCTAGCCCCCTAGATGCAAAGCTTACCGCCATACATCCTATTGAAGGCCAGCATGCTGCAAAACGATGCCACTGCTTTACGCTGTAATTTTGCGTTTAATTTCCAAAGTCATCACGGATGCGTTTTGTAGTTTGCAAGTCAATGTGACTTTTTTTGAGCACGTTAAACAGCTGTGGATGCTCATCTGTGAACGATTGGAGTTAGCAGGCGTCATTTCTCATTGTCACTAGCTATTCACAGGCTCTCAATTGCCATAATGCCTTTTGCCGTAAAAACGAAAACATTTTGGATTGTAACGCAGAGTTATACTCCAAGGTCGTTCTCTTGAAATTCCAGCTGCTATTTCATCAGCTGGATGCATCCACGCAGGCGGACAGGCCAAATATCATCTCTTCCATCAAACAGCATCTTTGCTCGTTATCATTTTGCCTGCTCACCAGCGGCATCACAGACCATTTGTCGGTCGTGCTTTTCGACTGCATCCACTTGCTTTTCAACTCAAAGGCATATGAAGACGCCAAGGCCATCACGGAGTGTCTGCAACTGCTTTCATACAAAACAAATTGCATTGAAAATCTTGCCACTTCCTATGAAATCTCCGTCCTATTAAGTTGCATTCTGAACGATTACCACGCATCCAAGAACTTTGTTCAGGAATTGTCACGAATCAAAACCACCGAGCATGCGCAACCAAAGCTGTTGATCTTAATACTGCACGTGCAGACGATCGCAAAACTCAATGCCGGCGATTCGGTTGCACAGATATTTTCTATCATGAATGATGTGGCTAGCCTTTCTCAGGCCAGCGAAGAGCTCTATTATGCATTCCACGAAGTGCTGATTGAAAATATCCCTTTGGTTGACATTCCGTTCGCTTTACACATGATGTGCGGCTTTCTTGGAAAGAGAGGGAGCTCCGTTTGCTATGTTTCCTTGTGTCTGGAGGTGATGGTCTCGTACCTTGTAAACATTTATGATCATTTTGATGAACATTGCTTTTCCAGTGCTGCACAAGTAGTGTTCGCAGCAATTTTGGACCTACTCGACCAATGTAAGCCACATCATATTCAAGGCGCTAGTGCACAAGTGGATCCAAACGGTCATGCACCAATTGGATGACTTTTCTTATTTGCTGGTCAGCGATTTATTTAAATCTTGTAAAGCTTTCGTGGTGATTGTAGGTTGGAATTATGGCCTTCGCCTCTCCAAATTGTGCTGTTTTGAAACGTGTTTTCGCTTCTTCTTCTTTTCCTTCAAGGTTGGGATTGTTGGTGTTCATTTTTGCATTAGTTTGTGCACCTTTTGCGGGACCCCCAAACGTCGCAAGCCCAGGCGCTAAAATCGGCCTTGTTGTCTTTTTCTGCTCTTTCCCTGGCCTTGGAGCTCGGCTGCTGCAATGATATCCCTTCTTTGGATACGGCTGCTGCCGAAATTTATTCTAGCATCAAGGCGATGCATATCTCGGAGCCACATGCAACACTTGCATTGAGGGCAAAGCTGCAGTACCACAGCGTCGCTTTTGCCATTCAAAGTCAATGTTCAACCAGCCGATTGCCTGAATTGTGTTCTGAAATTATCGCAAACGCATCTTTGGATTCGCTTGAAGACATTTTTTGCATGCTACTTGAAACCCTACCGCGGGCTTCTTTCCAAGCAATCTGTGCGTCTTTGTTTCCGATAGTTGAACGTTGCGTTACCCTTTTGGAAGAGAGCTTGCAGACGTGCAGCCAGCCGGCCAGCACCGGCCGCTTTGAAGAGCAGTTTTCGTTGGTGATAGATTCGCTTGTGGCAGGCTTTTTCAACTCGGCAGTTGAGGATGTTTCTTTTGACAAAACCCTACTTGTCCTGGCCAGGAAACATGCGGTATTGCAGCGCTCATTTATTGTTAGCAAGTGTTCACCGACAGCTTGGTATCGAACATTGTCACGCAGATATGGAACCACGCGCTAAAGCTCAAAATACTGCATCTGTTCAACAAATCCTATAAATGGGCGCAGGAGGCATTTTCTTTTGTGGTCGTGCTTTCCGACGATCACCTGAAAAGCTCGTATGAAGACGTTATTTTGCCAGAAATACAGGAGTTGTCATATTGCGTGATAAATTTATTCTGATCGCAGCGGCAGCCCTAATGCTAACCCCCCAAGCCTTAGCCCGGCCCTAGTTCGGACCACACGGTCCCATCAGTCTGGCTCTATTTGATTCTTCTGTCGCCATGCCACATGTGTTGCTTTAAACTGGCTTAAAAATTTCTAAATCATAACAACGATAAACCGCGCAAGCTTACATATTTCATCTGAGAAGTAGGGAAAAGCAGAATCCTCAATTTGGCCCGTTTTTCGAGCGGCAGAAATTCGTCTTCATCATCGAAAGCAGTTTCGTAATCGTCGTCTTCGACCATGGAGCGGTAAATTTCAATGGCAACCACATGGAAAACAGACAAATCCAATGCAGCCTCAAGCTCTGCGTTTGGCAACAGCCTAATGTATCTTTTAAAGTCAAAGGACCATATTTCTTCCATTTGGCCCTTTGAGGAAAGCAACGCCACTCCGCGCGTGTGCAAAATGAGCACCAGACCGACGGAGGCCGTTTCAATGGCATGCTTCATAAAGAGCGATTTCAGGGAGCTTCCCTTTGGAAGGTAAAAGTGCGAAACATATGTGAGATGGATGAACTTTCCATTCGCACCCTCCCTCATCATTTGCTGCCCCAATGCAGCCTCCAAATCGTAATCCTAGAAATCAACCTCAATTGATGGCAACCTTGATGGCCCCACTGGCAGCAATCACTCTGGGCGGCCGACATCTATCCAGAATGTCTTCGTCAAAGATGAGCGACGTTGTGTTCTTGATGCCCTCCGTCAAGGACGAGGCAAGGTCAAACATGCCGACCACTGGCTTTGTGACGGCCCCAACTATTCCCTTGCCAATGCCTTTTATGAGCCCAGGAATCCCGGAATGTTTGGCGCCCTCAATGGGTCTCTCCACGATTCCCGTGATGCCGGAGGCAATTGATGTTACCAAAGACTTTGCGCCCGTAGTCATGCCTAAAAGTTATGTTTTGGCCGCTAGTTTTGGCCGTACCTAAAAATTACATTCACACTTGCAAGGGGATACCTGAAAAAGCATGTCTTGGCCTGTTTCTCTTGCGCCGATTCCACCTCCGCTCCTTTTGAAACTCAGAGTCCAACGTGGTGATGGACAGTCCTTTACCAAACGAATTGGTCACTTTTGAGAGTGTATCTGAAATGCCATAAACAGTGTTTTTGATCAAAGACGCACTGCCCTTTGCAATGCCGATTCCGAAATCTTGCGGTTTGTCCGAAATGAAGCCAAGGTAAGGCTCGTAAAAGAGATCGGTCACTCCAGATGCGAAGCTATTGAACATTCCAATGGGATTTCCGGCAATGTCTGAAGAACCGATAACCTTGTGAACCTACAACATTATGCATTGAGATGATGGGGACACGTACTTGCTGGATGAGCTGGTCTCCATAGTGCTCTTTGAGGATTTTCACGAAAATTCCATATGCAAAGATCGGGTTTTGTAAAATCAAGGCATTAAACCGCAGGGGCGCTCCGTGAATGTTTCCAAGGATCTCGGCCATCGATGAAAGAGGCTCTGCTTGGCCCTCTTTTGCCAGCTGAATGTGCGGCGGAAACTCTGCCCTCGAATAGGAGAGGTTGATTTTGATGGGATGAATCTGCAGCCACTCGAAATAGAGCAATTTGTCTCCATTGCGCGACTCCATCAACGAGCAAATGGTATCAAAATCCGCCTCCATGCTGCCACTGAGCGCCCATGACGAGACTTGGGCCAGCGTGGTAGAGTCAAAGGAAAGAAACTGCTCCATTCGCCTGATAAAATAGCCGTCAAGCTCTAGCGAGAACTCCTGGATTAAAAGACCTCCATATTGGAAGCACTTGATACCGGAGGAGGCCAGGTTCTCATCCTCAATCAAAATAAACTTTAAGAACGGATGCTCCATCTTATCGAGCAGATCTTCGTCCCCTTGCAGAGAGCGTTCTTTTTTCAGTACTGAGGGGTAAAGAACCAATGGTGCTGTGGCAAGCGCGCACTGATTATCAATCTACAAGTGAGAAAAACAGGAGATCAACGAACCTCCAGCCAGTTGATGGACAGCTTCATCAAGCTTGGAGACGCAAACTTAATGGACTCTTCTGCAGAAGGCAGGTGGTACGTTACGGAGAGCCCCTCGATGGCGATGTATGCAATTTCGTCTAGCTCATGAAAAAGCGTTTCATTGGCCATTTCAAATCTGCGCTCAGATGCCTCACAGGCATTGCTATTGTCAATGAGCGAAATGCCGATTCGTGACTGGATTTCCAGGTTCAGCTTGAGCCCGGAAAGCAAGTTGGAAATGCTCAACCGTTTCTCTGACACAGACCCACCGTGCGGAGATGCAGATGAATCATGTCGCATGTCTTCTTCCCGCATGGTGGAGTGGAAAAATCTTCGCTGAAGAGACAGGAAATGGCTCTTCTTGCTGACCTGTATGGACTGCTTGAGGGCCTTCATTTTTTTCTTGATCTTCTTTTTCAACTTCCATTGTGGATATTTCTTTGAGGGCTTCTTGGGCGTGGTATCTAACAGCGGAGATTCTGAAAAAACTACACGCAGACTCTGTGAGCCTCCCATCAGCTCTACCTTGGCATTGATTATGGTGTACGTGCCATCCCTCATTCGGAACTTGAGTGGCTCCAGGGTGCCAATCTCGGAAATGTTGATTTCCTTCTTCTTGCCAGCATCGTCCAGATAGATGGCCAGTTTTTTCTCCGCAACTGAGGGCATCTCCCAAAAAAACGAGATTGCCGAAGGCCTGCAAGAGTCCTCTGTTCTCTCCGGAGACGTGTTGGGAGAAATATCCCTGGCTTTCCGAGTGCCTTTGTGGGCATCTGTCTCCTCGTTTGGCACTGTGCAACCGAATGGCTCTGAATTCCGTGCAGGCAAGTAATAGAGCCTGTGGGACCCGACCTGATGACATGTCAGTGCGTGATGCGAACACGAGTTCACCAAAATGAACGGATATTGCTGTTGCGCTGAAAAGACCACATAAAAGGTAGGGCCTTCCATCAGTGCCTGGCATTTAAGTAGCGGTGACAATCCACATGCTGCTGAAGGTTCTGTACATATGCTAGCATTGGAAGTATCCAATGTGATGGCTGCGCCTTTTCCCGGAGACAGCGAAGCATCAAAATTAGAGGTCGGGGCTAGCAGTCTTGCCTTTGGGTTGGGTTTTGGCTCCGGTCCACCGACAACGATAGCAGGGTCATCGCTCCGCTCAAAGCGAAGGAAACTTGTTCCAAGCTGTGTTAGAATCAGGGGCGCGCTCCAGCAGTCCTGTGGCGATGACACTTTTTTGAGCGTGACTGCATAAAAGGCCGGCGAGTCGTGGTCTTCGCTCTTTGATCGTCCAAAGTGAAATGGGATCAGCGTCCTGGGCGAAACGACATTCACATTGGAGGGTGAAGCAGAGGCAGCAATGCAAAAGTCAAAGCCGACCATTGAATAAAGCACAAAGCGTGGCCGGATCATTATCACCTTGGAATTTGGGGTGCGGGGATCCGTCGAAACGGAAATTCCGAGCTGATACGAAGCGGAGCGCCCGCACAGCTCAAGATGCTGCGACGAGCCGACAATTTCTATGGATATTGGCTTTGACCACTCCGTGTCTTTGGTGCGAATCACTGACCGTGCATGGGAAGACTTGAGTAAGTGATTTAGCGTCCCGGAGTTGCGTCCGTATGAATAAAGAAGGGGTAGTAGCCCGTTCGTGGCACCGATCGCATGTGGTCTCTTCTCACCCTGGTTGCCCGGTAGCAATGCAGAGACCTGTCTAAATGAAATGTCTAGCTCTGATTGATTCAACACCACATATGGGGCATATATTTCAATCTGCTTCACAACGCTCGAACACTCAAACGACCTGTAACCGTTAAAATGGCATCTTGCTCACCTGTAGTTTATGCGCAGAACCAAAGGAAGGCCATTTCCGTTGACAAGCTCAATAAAGTCATCCACGTATGGGTTCTGCTGCTCTGGCTCTGTTTTTGCGCGGTTCTCGACTTTGGTCCGCTGCTCTGGTGTTTGCTTGGACGCTCTTACTAGACGTCGTGACGCTTCAGCAGAGTGATAAATGAGTGACGGGTTGCGCGAGGTGCACCCAATGTCAGGGATATCTACCATCAACCCCAGCAACGCTGGACCCCCATCGATGTCTTCTGACGCGGAAAGAGCCACATAGTGCAAATGTAGCGTTTCATAGCTCGCCAAAGACGCTTTGAAGTTGACCTTCTGCCGCCGATCAAGAATTTTGAATGTGATGGGATACGGGAGCTGGCTGCTGATGATGACGGGCGGTAAAAAATGGCACCGCATCGCAGGATAATGCATGCTGAAATCGCCTAGCCGTTCGCAGTGGACAATTGTCGAAACGGAAAAGACTTGTGAAAGGCCGCTGGTTTCCCCTTCCGAGACAAACGACAGATCCGGGTTCGATATCAGCTCAACGTCATTTGCAGACAGCAAAGTGCTGTTTTTCTCTGCTTTAGTGCCATCTAGAACTGTGCGCCAATCGACGGAGGATGCAGACCAGATGTAGCGCACCGAGTTAATGGGGCTGCTCTTTTTGGAGTTGCGGGCATGTGTGGAAAAATTGGGCAAGTTCTCGGTGTTTTCCTTGGCAACAAAGTACTTGGGACGGATCTTAAAGCGTGAATAGTAAGCAATATCAAGGGGAACGCCCTGCACCTCGCCTGGCCAACACTCGAGAACATAAATCTGTGGAATCAGAAACGAAGCCAACTCGCGGCTCTGAAACAGCCGATCTGGGATGAAAAACATCACCTCGAAGACGATATCTGTGTGATTTTGCAGCTGTAGTGCAGAGCTGATATCGATGCGCTTTGCATATGTAATGGGATCATGCAGGGCGAACGAAGCACAATGTGGATCAAAAGTCGAGCCCAGGCTTGACACTGGAAGCGTGGATGAGGCGCTAAATTTTGAGGGCCAAGCCGCCGATGTTGCAGGTTGCCCTGCCATCCGGGCCGCCGATGCCAGGTTATAGCTTGAAACCTCGGCAACAATAAAATGCTTGATGCCATCCATGCTCGGCCGCAACAAAAACAGTGACGATAGATACTTGTTAACAGGGATGTTCCTTATCGATTCAAACGGAAACCGATCCTCCAGCAGATGCACATTCAAGATGGGATCGCGCGAGGATGAAAATCTCCAATACAGCGATTCGCCTGATTGTAATCGATCACAGATTTCCGTGGTTTCAACGGCAGTCGGAGTTGTCTCTCCAGATGTGCTATCTGTCGGCGTCACTCCATCGCTGGACCACAACATGAGATCAACGCCCGTTTCATTTCGCACCAAGAATGTCAAGTTCTGCCCATGGGCAGAACAAGCACTCTGGCCTTTGCTGTTTGTAGCCACCGAATCGAGGTCCTTACAGAGAGAGAAAATTCTGCGCAAATACAGCGCGGCATACTTCAAAAAGACTTGCGAAACACAGAACTCGAGATTGTGCATCGATGAGATGGTGACCTCTGTAGACGTGGTCATATTGAGCGCCCGCAACCACTTGCGATCGATGGTGGCAGTAAACTGCCATGTCTCGATCAGAGGCTCCCATGTGGAGTTATCAGAGTTGAAATAATCGACTTTTACCTCCATCGTGAATACGACGAAAAGGTTGCAAAGTTCGTCCGAAATGTCAGAGAAAAATTCGGAATACGAAGAGTTTGCATCATCATCAAAGCGGATCGAATTGGAATCATCTTCAACGTTCAGATCCGGATCAAAGGGCTCCGGCTCTTCCTCCTCGTCCTCTGAAAACCGGATGTTCTCAACCTTGAAATATGCATCTTCCAAGGCCAGTTTTGGAATGACAACTTTCAAAAACGGGCAAGAATAAGAAAGAGACGGTGGGGTCGATTTGTGGGCCGACTTTGCACACGAGAGTTGCATCTCCTTTTCGCCAGTAAATGCATAGTCCTCGAAAATCACCAGAATCTCGACCCCGGCAATAGCCAAAGAGATCTGGTTGACCAGCTCGATTGGAGGAACGCTGCCTCTTGATGGGATCATCCAATTGCCGGTTTTTATTTTTGCACAAAGCGTGGACGAAAGGTTCCAAAGCAGCAAAATGTCATTGGACGTGATGTTTACACACACTTTTGATACCTCGATTTTGGACCATATTTCGGAGAGCGATGGATGTTTTCGCTTGCCATCCAAGGAAACATTCAAGTAAACCGGAGTGACAATCTGCCTGTTTGAATCTTTTGGCAAAGATGGGAACAAATAGGAATCGCTGATCAGAGCCCCCCCTCCATCGCTAATGATGATGGACGGATCGACGCTGAAGCAAAGATTGGACACGGCTACATTCCAGCGAAAGTATTCTTTCTCTTCATTTGGCGTGGCAAAAAATTTTGCGTTGCTTGCGAACCGCATGTGTGTACAGAAAAGATAGAAAGAGCCTGCATCGAAATCAAAGGGTAAAAAGATGTAAATCCCTTGCAAAAAGCCAACCGAAACCTGCGAGCAAAGCGTGATGTCATCGATGCTCGATAAGCGCGTTGAAACCAACAAAGACGATTTGGGATCAATAATAGCCTCAAGGTCCTTCTTGGGAATAGAACTGAAAATAAAATTGAACGCCTGGTGCAGAACAGAAGCATCGTAAATTTTGCAAACAAATGGGACGAAAAAGTTCAATTTTTGCACGCTCTCCATGCAGAAGGAGCTGCCCTCGTTCGTGGAAGTCTTTTCGCTCGAAAACTGGCCTCGAAAAGGCGATGCCGTATAAAGCGACAGGGCTTTGGGACAATATATTTGCGTATTTCCGTCCACCAAGTTTGCAAGAATGCATGGGTCAAAAACCAGCAGACTTTTATCGATTAAGCTCGGCACGATGACGTCTTCATCCGATATGCAATAGTTCTTGTATTTCAACGAATACCCTGCAAAAAAGTAAAAAATGTCCATTTTGTTGCCGCCAGAGCTGAATGCTTGGGCCAAGCAATTTAGCATGCTCAGTGAGATTGATTCACAATTTGCAGCACCAATTTCAGCGACAATCTTTTTCGCATTGAAAAGCAAAACGAATTCGGTTGCCTTTTTGCAAGGTACGCCCTCCAAGATCAATGGAATTGACTGGACAAACTCCATCAGAAAGCACAGCAAAAAGGTGATTGATTTGGCCTTTGCACCATGGAATCTGAAAGACAGACACTCGTAAATATCGATGGTCGACTTGGCATTGTTCAACAAGATATCAATGGTGAACGGTCTGGATATGAACGACTCATCCATGCCCTTGATGTCATTGATGTTCACTTTCAGCGATGAACAAGATGGCTCTTCTGAAAGGATTTCCACAGTTGACAGGTTCGATGACGATTTAAACTGGAATGTGCTGAAAATAACGGAAATGCCATTATACGGGCAAATGGAAAACTCAAATGGATAGGAGTTTTCGAACACCGTCGATGGCAGCACCAGCTCGTTTTCATCAGCCAGCGTTAAAGTCAACGAGCTGGTCATGGTGTGGCAAGGCGATGGTAAGTCCAAATAGCAGTCGATTTGGAAAAAAAAGATATCCAAAAAATGAAGAATCTTTTCTTTAAACAGCACAAGATCGCGCAAGTCGGTCTCCGAAAGATATAAGAAAATGTTTGCACACCAAATTGCAAGCTCCTGCACGTAGGATTTTGTGCTGTGCACCGATTTTGGAGAAACATACTGCACATGCAAAGGTTTCCCCCACGAAAAGAGTGTCTCATCCGATGCGTTTTTGACGCACGAGTTGGTATTCAAAACGACCTCGATGTTCTTTTTCGACAATATGGAATCAATTTCCCGTTCATAGTCAATGGTTACATCTCCCTGTTCAATAAACAAGCGCTGATATGCAGAAGGCACGTGGAACAGCTTGCAGCACGAATTTTTAACTGAAAGCAGCATGCGGAATTTGCTGTTTCTTTGAGGATTGACGGGAAAGCAAAAAAACGACGAACACGGCACAGGGGCAAACAGATTGAACACAAAAAGGCGACTAAAATACGCATGGAAGTTAACAATAAACTCTGGGCAAAAGCTTGAATCAATGTCGACAACAAATGCTTGCAAAAAAAGGGAGTACATATCGGATTGCTTGAAAATCACTTCCATTGGTGATGATTTTCGTACAAACCGGAAAAAGGAGCTGTTTTCAACATTGTCTGGATTGGGAATGTAGCAGGGTGTAAAGTAATTCTTAAATGCCTCCGGAGGTTGCTTGGCTTCAATAAAAAGCAGCTCATTTCGTAAAGGGGTCAGTTCAAAGAGCTCATTAAAAGTTATCTTCAGATACTCTTTTGACGTTGTTGATAAGTTGACGATGACAGACGATGCTTCAAGTTCGCACAGCTTGTCAAACGAAAAACAAAGCGTCGATGCACGATTTCCACCCTCAAAAACATTCCACGGTGACTCCGTGCATTTTGACGAATAAAAGAGCTCGCCTTTAAATTGATCAACATTCAAAACCAGGCTAAAATTTACCGGTTCGCTTGACGAAGACTCAAAGTAGGCGAACGACTTTCTTAGCAGCCAAACGGGATAGTCATATAAGCCTAAAGCTATCCTCGAAATATAAACATCCGCAATGTGGTCCATAAATTTACCGCTGAAATTTGAGATTTCCAAGAGCGGAATCGTATGCAGGCCATTTGCTGAATTTTGGAATGATGAGCAAATCGAGTATAAAGATAGCTCTAGAAAATTCCCTTCAGGACAAGCGAACTCGATGTCAACAATGGAAAACATCAAACTCTCCGCATCCCCAAATAAAGCCAAAGCGATATCAACTTTTTGCAAAGAAACAGCCCATTTCAGATCATTACTACTATGTGCAGCATGCATGGCGACAGGAAATGAAGAGAAAAAGGCATCGCATGCAGATTGCAAGAGCGTGATGGTACTCATGTTTAATTTCAGCGAAATGGGAGCAATATTGAGCGTCAAGCCATCATTGGGGCCATATTCGACAACGTTTTTACAAATAAATCCCTCCCCAGCATCCGATGAATAGTCCAAATTTTCGTCGTTTTGAAAAAGAAATTTTTCTTCCTTATCTGGCAATTGATACGCAAAAGAAACATTTCCAAATTGCCCCGTACCTGATAATTGAGACCAGTTGGATGTAAATTCAGTGGTTAAAAATAGCGAGCCCAATTCAAAGGTAAAATTTGCTGTCGCGCCACCACTGATAACAAGTAAAGAAAGGGACAATTTTTCTATCTTTGACGTTGCAAGTATCATTGTCTAAAATCAGATGGGAGCAAGCTTACTGTTTTTGAGATTGCCTGATTTCCACAAGGAGAAGCATTTGCATGCATATTTGCGGATTTTTTCGAGGAAAACATTGGGAACCTCAATGCTAATGAAGAGAGCCCTTTCTTTTTCTGAACGGACTTGGCAATATCCCTGAAAAGCAAGATATCCTGGACGTCATACTTCTTCTCAATTGAATTTAGTATTTGAAGAGACTCTATTGACGGCTAGGATGCATAAATACACCTCATTACAATACCTTGCTATTATAGTGGCATACATAGGATTTTCGGTCGGCACAAAAAGCTTCCATACAGCTCCAAACAAAGGAACGCGCCCTGTTTTTCTGCAATACTACTTTTGCCAGCGATTTGAGGCTGGTGGTTTGATTTTGAGAGTCTTTCAAAATACTTTGATACGCCTGGACAAGCTCTAGACTCAGCTCAATTGAGATAGAATCCATAAGCAGGTCCACAGAGATTTTCGAATCTTCGCCTGCACTTTTGGGTGTGACTTTAACACTTAAAACAGAAGCATCAACAAAGGTTGCCATTTCGGCATCGAGATTTCCAGCATTGAACGAGCAAGTAAAGCTTTCAATTGAAAGGATCCGCAAAGTGGATTTCGGCCCAACGTTAACAGGAGGCGAAACTTCAACCGCGTGCAAAGTGGAAATCTCGACAGGCTTTCCAGTACAAACATCAACCGCATCCAAACTGGAGATCTCCACCGGGCTTCCAGTAGAAATATCAATAGAATCCCTTGCTGGTGTTTCAATCGGCTCTCCAGCCGGGGCCTCCAGTGCATCGCTAATCGATAAAATAGACAATGAAGATATTTTGAATGCAAATTTGCGGGAATTTCTCTCAACAACAACTTGCGCATTTTTTATGAACAAATTGCAAGAATCAAGGATTTTGGATTTGAGGGACTTTACATAAGAGTTACCGGTAGCTTCCGCTTCTGCCTGAAAGTGTTTATGGAAGAAGAGAAAAATTTCCTTTTTGAGGTCAGACATAACCATGTAGTCGTCCTAGAGGATCAAGTTCAAAGAATACCTTTAGCTTAAAGTGTAATGCAAGACCATCAACAAATACATTAACTGGCTGCTTGAATGGGCTATACCATGGGACCTTGATTGAAATTTCAGAAATGGATCCTAGCATTAAGAAAAGTTCAAACCAGTAGTCAGGAGCAATGATGATATTGAGCCCGAAAAAGCCTGAGAATTGATAACGAGATTAGAAATACTGACATCTCCGTTCCATATGCCTACTTTAAAATTGGTATTTTCCAAGTTGACAAAGTAGACCCCAAAAGATCTTTGGAACAAATTGATAAAGAATGATTCGAACATATGGTCCGAAAAGTACAGAAGGCTGCTGATTAATTAGATTGAAGTTTTTAAAAAGATTTTTACTAAAATCTATGCAATTTCCAAGTACAAAATATCTCAAAAAATTACCTACCACCCAATCGCCTTTGCAATGTTGTTGCTGGGACATATTGTAGCCGGGCTCAACCCTAACCCTAAATTGCGCGAGGGTTAGGGTTTGGATTGGGCGCCATCTATGCCATTCTTCAACTCTTAATTGCAAGATCACTGTTATGGATTCTTTTTATCAGTTTGTTCAAATTTGGCCTTATGCCTTCCGTTCTTTTCTTAAGCGAGGGAAATAAGGATGGAGAAACAAATGATAAGGAGCTTTGCCAAAGTCACTCGCTGGTCAGCAATCTTTTGGCCTTTGCACGCATAGATAGTCGGGAAGGTTAAATGTTTTTGTAAACACCGTTAGTTCTTAGTACGATTCGAACCAGATTTTTAGAGGGAAACATATACACATTTATTGGGGACATTCTGATCGCCATCAACCCATTTAGCGACAAATACGAAGCCCTCTTATATGGGGATCAAAAAATTGAAAAAATTAGAGCATCTCCAACGCGAGATGATGCTCACATTTATAATGTGGCACATAGAGCGTTCTCGGCACTGACCGAAAAAAACCATCCACAGTCGATTATAATATCTGGCGAGTCAGGATCGGGAAAAACACGAACATGTCATCACATTTTAAATTACCTTGTTCGCTTTTCCAGCGATCCAGATCCGAAGATCCTAAGACTGGTAATTTTAAAGTTTACAAACTGCCTTAGATTTCGCTTTCCGAAATAGTGCTACAGGCGTTTGGAAATGCTAAGACGCAAAATAACCACAATTCGTCGAGATTTGGAAAGTTCATCCAAATCATCTACTTTGAATCGTCCATAAAGGCAGCGAAAATCGAGCATTTTTTGCTGGAACGATCTCGCGTCTTGGAGATCAGGAATTGCAATAAGAAAAATCCGAATGACAGGGGATTCCATATTTTCGATATGTTTCTAAACAATTTGAATACAAATCACTATTATCTGTCCGATTTACCGGGGGTTCTTTCCGAATTTAGTGACGCAGCTGCTTTTAAAAAGCTATTGGAGGCATTGGAGGAATTCAAATATCCTTTTATTGAGGAAATTTGGATCAAAATATGGAATCCC